CCCTCTCTCTCTCTCGGTCGGTATTCAGCGTGCCTTCCCGGCGCCCCTTGATCGTAAGCGTTACGATTGTACGCATACTTGTACTGTACCCAGGTCGCGACCTTAACAAGGTGCCTGCTAGCTACAACGCTGCCATTGCGTTCCAACACTGAAAATGTCAAACTCCAACAGTACTTGCCATTCCGTTCCAACACACCATCATCCTCGTACGTAGGTCGGTGCGACTGCGGCGGTGCTCATCGCCTCCGCGGCCGCCGAGCTAAAGCGCCAGCAGGAAGAGCAGCTGGAGAAGGAGGTGGCGGAGGCGGAGGCCCGCTCGGGGGGTATGGGGTCCCAGTCGCATTCTGCGGGCCGCCTTCCCTCCGCCACCATGGTGTCGGCGTCCGCCCCCGCAGACATCAACGCGGCCACGATAGCGGTCATGGCCGGCCTCGAAGAAAAGTTCTCAACCGCCGGACTAGGGGAGGAGAAGAGCGTGGACGGCATGATGGAGCACGAGGCCTACTTCCCGCTGTCCGGGGGCAGCGACGGCGGCGGCGGGGGCATCCAGAGGGGGCGGGCGTCCAGCCTGGTGGAGCCAGGGAGCGGCGGCGGGGCCGCGACGGCCATGAAGCCGACGTCGTTGACGATGAAGGCGAGGGTTGGCCCGGGGGCCCCGCGGTGGAGAGGGGGCGTGTTGGGTACTCCTGGGATGGGGTCGTCCCCCGGTTCGGGTAGCATCGTCGGGGCCGGGAAGCTGGGGGTGCAGTGTTTCACGTGCACGGTCGGGAAGAAGCCTAGCCAGGCCAGGACGTACGTGAACGACATCGATGAGGTGAGGGGCTCGTCTTGAGGAGGGGGGAGGACGCTTGCTGTTGTGTTGTTGATGATGATGTGTATGTTTCGCACTTTTGACATTTGTGCTGGGCGCTTTTCTGTTTTTTTTCTTGCAAAGGTATGGTACGACAAGTGAAGTGATAGGCCATGACGCTGCCGTTAGCCGGCAGTCTCACGTAGGCATGATTGGGAAGACTCTTCCGGCACCTGTATTGAAACGGTGACGCCCAAATGTTTCAGACAAATACATGGCTCGAACATCCACAATGAATCCCTTGAGGAAATGGAGGCACGTGTTGTTTGTCCATGCCCATCTCAGGGGATGACCCCTCGAGACCTTGAGATAGCCCGCTCGACAATCGATATGTTGGGTGCCGCCAGTCAGGACAGCGAAGCGAAGGGCGAGAATTGTTTGTCGAATTTTATTTAACACCTCATGTCTTTCGCAAACAGCGTTCCATCGTTGGTTACCACTGATAGAACGAGTGATAGTTGATAGTGTTGCCGTCAGAAAAGCGACGCAAAATGCAGGAATTACTCTACGTTGATTTTTTAACCCCTCATATCTCTTCGGAAGAGCGGTGCATAGTAGATAGTGCTTCTGGTTTCCGCGTTGCTAAATAGCGCTTCCGGTTTCCGCCTTAACAGTAGCGCTTCCGAAGAAAAGTCGCAGCCGTCGCATCGACGGACAAACAAGTCGTGAACCTCTCTGCTGCCTCTCCCCCCGCACCCACCCATGCGCCGAATGCAGGTTCTGGAGATGTTGAGAGGACTGGTGAAGGTATCGTTGTCAGTGTCGAGGAACTACTCCACCTCGCACCTGAGCGACATGCGGGGTCGCGGCCGGGGGGGCTCCGCGAACTACGACGACTTGTCCCTCATCTCGGCGCAATTCCACGCCGAGGTATGTATAGTACAGTATGCATGACGACAAACCTGTCTCTAGATCTCTGCTCCTTTGGTAGATGGTACCGAGGTGTACGGTTCAATAAGCGTGGCACGATCTTTCGGTCTCTAGGTCTCTGCTATTTTAGTACATGTGCAGGCCTTGTTTGGCTCTGTGAAAGTTTTGGATTTTTGTAGGCTACGTGGTATCAGAGGGGAACAGGGGGGGGCTCGCACAGTAACACGCCGAACCGTTGTCTTTCGGCGGTGTTGACTTGGCACAGCGTCGCAATGGCATGGGTTAGCTAGAAGGCTCGTGGGACGCGAGATATATTTTGTGTGTATCTCGCCCTGTGTTGCAGATACATGCACTCGCTAGAGGCGGGGTATTTTGCCGGAGCATTGTTGAGGGAGAGTTACATCGGGTGCGGCTTTTCCAGAACGCCGATAAGGGTAGAAGTACCGTACACACCGCCTCGTGTCCTCCCTCGATGCGGCACATGGCATATGTACCGACTCCCTTTGCGATCGTTCGATGGATGGATAGCCAACCGCCGTTTTCGTGCCCTTGGCCTTGGTCTCGCAGGCTTCCGGAAAACTCGACGCTTCCGGGCAAGGGGTGCCGGGATCAACAGCAACATCGGGGGTGAGTTCCGTACGACGGTCTCTTCTCTTGCCGCAAGCAATGGTGGTGGTGGTGGTGGCTGTGATGTCGGGGTTGTTGTTGGGTGTTGTTGTTGTTCGAGTTTGATTCGAACGTTGATTCTTGGTGCAAAGTGTTTCGACATTTTCCTGAATCGCAAGACTCGTGTCGGTTCAACCCACGCCTGTTCTTCCTGTCGTTTGTAGTTCGGTGTTGTGTTTGATGGACGTGGATTGTGAGCTTAACGCTCGACTTTTGTTGTTGACTTACGTTGGCAGGGTATGCCGATAATGAAGAGCTTGTCGGTGGTCGTGATGCCCACGCACATGCTTCCTGGAGCGTCGGCTCCGATGGCACCTGGTACCATGTCAGCATACTTCGACCAGATCGAGGTACGATGCGATTTTGTTTTCTGTTGGTGTCTGAACACACCTCTTCTTGTTAGTAAGACAAAATGATATCGCGGTATGCTGCTTGGGAATCGTAAACACACGGGTAGTACTCTGCTAACGCTATGAATTCAATACATCCCTTTATATGATAACCCTTTGTCTATGGGTTTATTTATGGGTTGAAAACCAGCTATTTTGACGCTGGCTCTATTTCATAGTTACATCCAATACTTTATGAAGAAAGAAAACTACCTTCCCGCTGTTCAGATGTTACACATTCTACTGTCATCAGTAGGGGACACCATGAAGAGGCGTCCTGTGTGCTGGCACGTTGAGGTTTGCCACTGGAGCTGAAATATCGAAGGTCGTGAGCAGTCTCGAAAACAGTCCGTAATCTGTGCCAGAACCCAATAATTGTCGCAGCCATGTTCACCGCCACAGACCGTAAACCCCTGAACGGCGGGTCGTCAGCAGTAGCTAGTGGCATGAGCTACAGCTACAGCAGTAAACACACAGTTGAGGAGATTGGGGTCAGTGGCGGCGAGCACAAGCAGTACAAGACACAGGGTCTCGGTCTATTTTTCGGAGATTGTAGGCCGCTACTTCGACCCTCGGTATCACCACCCAAGAAGCAATATTACTCGCGAACACATACACATTGCTGCTATCGGGTGTCCTCTAGTGCTATCGGTAGAATGTTTAAGGTCTAATGCTAAACTGACGTAATTTGAGCGCCTGCCGTTCTGGCGTTTGACTTGAGGTTAGACTGGCGTGAATTTTGAATTTTCATATTGGTTTCAAAGGAGGCGTGTGGAGGTAGAGGCGTGCAATGTATGTCTTGAGCAGGCGTTTCTGTTTTTCCCAAGCCCTTGCGACTGGTGTTGTGTGTTTCGTGTGCGTGTGTTTTCTGGTGCTCTGCCGGTTTTTTTTTCAAAATTACATCGGCGAAACATGAAAATTGCTGGTCTGCGGGCCCTTACGAAAAATAACATCTATTTAGGTTGTTTTCTTGGCACTACAATTTTTTTTCCGATGTCTGCCCAGTACCTTGCTCGGTTTATCAGTCGTCGGTCTGGCGGCCACCGCGTTGGATTGGATCGGTACTAGGACCTTTGGGGTTTGTGCTGCATAGAGAGCTCAGCAAGACTTTCCCCCAAGTTTACGACAACGGTAGCACCACCCCGACACCATGCACTCCTATCTTACGGTAGAGAGCTAGCCTAATGATAGCAAGATTGACCCCTGCCAACAACATGCACAACAACCAACAACCACGAAAATCATCGAGGTCAATGATCAACAACAACAAACAGCACCACCCTGACAGCATGCACTCCTCCCTTGCCATAGAGAGCCACCATCACGACATGATAGCACATGAGCGCTAACCCTTCGTCCTCCCTTGCCGCCAAATCAAACGACCTGGTCTGCAGGAAGGAGACGAGGACGAAGGGGGCATCTTTTTCTAGGGGGGAATGGGGGGGGGCGAGAGAGAGAGAAAGCACGAGGATGTTTTGTAAGCACATTCGGGCGAAAACAGAGGGTGGGGGAGGGGGGCGCCGTGCCGCCATGAGGGGTAACCATCCCCCTCCTTTTGACACCGGGAGAGATTATAATCTAATCTCGCATCCACGTTTGTTGGCAGA